AGGGGCGAATCACGGGGCCCCTGAGGCCCCTGGCTGCAGGGCTGTGCAGTGAGGTGGTCTGGGACCATCGCTTCTGCTGGCAGGTGCCTTGTGCTGCCTGATAGGAGATGCCCCCCGACAGATCCCTTGGGCAGAAATCCACTAGGAAGCCTGTTGCTTGCTCCTCTGCCCATCTGCAGAGACCGTGGAGAGGCCCAGTGTGGCCAGGCCCCGATGACTGCGGAGAAACACGCCCAAGCTCCGCGGACGGGAAGGGGAAGCTAACGAGGTGACTGCAGAACAGGGCCATCGAGTCAGAGCAAAGGGGCTGCTGGCCAGGCGTCCCTCCCCAACCGCGGCCAAGGCAGGTACAACCAGGGGGATTCCTGCAGCCACTGGGCAGGTTTCATACATAGTGATTCTGGGGCCACAAGGCCAGAGAGAGAACGGAGCCGCCCAGGGCAGCATCGGCCCTCGAGGGCAGGAAGGGAACTGGCTTTGGCCCCCCATCTCCATTTGAAAGGGAAGCAAACTGGCCCAAGGAGGATGCAGTTGCTAGACCTGGGAGCTCAGAGTTTAGCTCTTTCCTTTTTCCCCCCCTGCCCCTTTCTGCCTCTGCTCTCCCAGTCCCCACCAGCTGTCCCCTCTCCAGTGGAAACACTGCCCGGGCTAGGGGAGTGGGAGCCCTTGTGGTCTGCCTGCTGGACTCTGGGGCTCAGGCGCAGGAACGGGGCCGGGGGCAAGGAGAAGGCTCTTGCAGGTCCTTCCCTGCCTTCCTCAGTCACCTGGAGTCCCTGGCGCGGAAGTGTCCGTAGCATCGGTGAGTTTCCCTGAGAGGAGCTGGAGCCGGAGGCAGGCCCACCTGGGCCCCTTACATCCTGCTGGGGCCCCTGGAGAGGGGAGACCTGCAGCTCCTTGCTCGGCCCCTGCAGAGGGGAGCTGGGAAGGAATCTCCTGGCCCAGGAAGCTCATCCCTGAAATCCCGAGGATGGGCCGTGCAGCTGCAGAAAGAGAAGCAGCCTCCTGGCTTTTCCCAGCAGCCATCACCCTCTAGTGGCAGCAGCCAGGGGAATACCTGGGAGCTTGCGGGACCCTTCCACTGCCCAGTTCGCAGGGGCCACGGTCCCTGTTTCTTGGCAGGAGAGGCAAGATCCAGAGGCCAGAGAAGAAAGCACAAACCAGGAGCCAAGGGGAGTAGGGTCAGTACAAAGAGTCTGAGTCTGTTCAAAAGCATCTGGCAGGAAGGGGGCCACACTTCTGACCTTTGCCCTGCCCGTCTCTGCCCCTACCCTTGGGACCCGGGCCTGCCCCTTCCTCGGAGCCCGGCCCCCACTCACTCCATCCACTCAGGCTGGGCGTCCGACAGACTAACAGGCCCATGACCCTCAGTCCATGCCAGGACTAGGAATAAAGGCAGAGGAAGGGATGAGCAGGGATGTACGTCCAAAGCCTGGAATACAATAGACTAGGGGGAAGAGCCTCTTCCAAAGGCGCAGGCTGGAAAGTGGGAAATACTTCACCCAAGTAGGGAATGTTCTCCTCAAAGGGCACAGCTGTTATCGCGTTTGCACAACTGGCTTCCTGTTTTCCCTACTCCGCCGCCTGAGAACATGTAGCCAGAAATCTTCAGAGTCCCCAGGTTCCTCTGAAAAAGCACGCCACAGGGTCCTGGCATCACCCCGGCAACCCCTCAGATGCCTATTGTTCTCCGCCACGATAAGGGAACGGATGCGGACGGCATTTCCGAGAGGGGCAGTGTGCGGATTGTGACCTTGCACTGCCACCGGGATGTTTTGTAGCATTTCCTGCTTTTATCTTATTTCCAGGGTCCTGGCGAGGCTCCCTCTGGGCTGGATACTCGTGTTAAACGGAGTCCCCTGTCAGGAGCCCTTGGCATCTGCATTCCCGGATCCGTCCTGGCTTCTGGACGGATGTTTGTGTGTGAAACTGGAGTGGCTGGAACCTGGTCTCCTGAGAGACTCGCCCTGCCCTGGACCCAGTGCCACAGCAGAGTTCAGTCCCCTTCCCAGGGGAGGCTACCGGGCTGTCCCTCAGCTACGGGCTTCATCCCGTCTTAGATTGGTCACGTTCTCAGGCATGCTCTTTCCTCCTCCTCCTCCTCCTCGGAGGGGAGTGGGCTGAGGACTGGAGTGGGTGGAGTTTATTTCAATTATCCTCATCTTGAATCCTAGAACTGGAAGGGCCTTCAAGAGGTTGTAAAGTCCAGTCCTTATGGCAGGACTGAGCACTGTCTAGACCATCCCTGACAGGTGTCTGTCTAACCTGCTCTTCAATATCTCCAGGGATGGAGATTCCACAACCCCCCTAGGCAATTGATTCCAGTGTTGACAGGTAGCAAGTTTTTCCTAATGTCCAACCTACACCTCCCTAGCTGCAGTTTAAGCCCATTGCTTCTTGTCCTGTTCTCAGAGGCTAAGGAGAACAATTTTTCTCTCTTCTCTTTGTAACATCCTTTTAGGTACGTGAAAACTGCTCTCGCATCCCCTCTCAGTCTTCTCTTTTCCGAACTAAACAAACCCAGTTCTTTCAGTCATCCCTCCTAGGTCATCCTAGACCTCCCCGACTAAAAGACCGTACTTTATAAAGAAAATCAGACACTGTTGTAGGGTACCATTGTGCGAGGCCGTGTACATCATACCCACCAATCACACAGTCACGGCCCTTCATGCTTATAACTGAAATAGAGAAGAAAAGCTTTAATAGCCTCATTACTGCTATTTTTAGCAGTTGGGGACAGGCTCCAGCAGCGGAGAAGCATCTGGCTCTGGCAACGCCCGCACCCCAGCCAGAACCTTTCACTGTGATATGTTGCTTCGCTCTGCCGGGAGTCCGGGACACGTGCGGTGTGCCTTGCATTGCCCAGCAAGTGCAGGCAGAGCCCACGCCACTTACACCCACGTCTCCCAGGGATACAACACGCCGACGCGATGGTCTCTCTATTGACAGTAGTGCCAAGGGTGGTCAGTGCAGAACGCCAGCTGCTTTCACTCCCTTCTGTCCTGTGGCTATTTGCTTCTTGCATCTCAGACAAGGGACTAACAGGCAGATAAAGGCTCCGAAATGACTCTTGAATGCCCCCAGGCTTGTGGGCCTGAGACACTAACGCCAACAGGGAGCAGGCTCGGCAGAAAATCTGCCCAGGTTTGTCAGGAGTGGATCAGGACCAGGAAGCATCAACCATGTTTTTAAAGCAGGGGAAATAATGGGCAGCCCGGAGCCGTTGCTGTGCCCAGCCTACACCCAGCAAGCGCGAATGCAGGCGGCAGGGTCTGCAGGGACGGCAGCGGCATGGAGGGTGGACAACATTGAAGCTGCCTGGGGCTGCTCCCTCGTGACTCAGGGTGGATTGTTTATTGCCAAGGGCGCTGGGCTTTGTTGCTCAGGGGACAGGAAGTTTCACTGTAACTGCCCATCACACGGCGAGTGATCCTGTGGCACCTTAGAGACTAACAAAGATCGATCTAGAATCATGAGCTTTCATGGGCACCGCCCACTTCCTCAGCTGATGAGCTGCAGAGGAGCAACAGAAACCCAGCGGCTACGTCTAGACTGGCATGAATTTCCAGAAATGCTTTTAACGGAAAAGTTTTCCGTTAAAAGCATTTTCGGAAAAGAGTGTTTAGATTGGCACGGACGCTTTTCCGCAAAAGCACTTTTTGCGGAAAAGTGTCCATGGCCAATCTAGACGAGCTTTTGTGCAAAAAAGCCCCAATCGCCATTTTTGCGATCGGGGCTTTTTTGTGCAAAACAAATCTGAGCTGTCTACACTGGCCCTTTTGCACAAAAGTTTTGCGCAAAAGGGACTTTTGCCCGAACGGGAGCAGCATAGTATTTCCGCAAAAGCACTGATTTCTTACAGTAGGATGTCAGTGCTTTTGCAGAAATTCAAGTGGCCAGTGTAGACAGCTGGCAAGTTTTTCCGGAAAAGCGGCTGATTTTCCGGAAAAACTGGCCAGCCATTTGTCCTGTGTCAACATTGGCACTTAACTCATGTTTTTATAGAAAGTTATCAGACCTCCCCTTACCCTTCATTTCTTTTGGCTAAACAAGCCAAGCTACTAAGTCTCCTCTCGTAAAGAAGATTTTCCATTCCTCAGATCATCCTAGGAGCCCGTCTTTGCATCCCTTCCCATTTGAATTTCTTTCAAAATATGAGAAACCAGAATTGCATGCAGTATTTCAGGTAATCACATGATTGTTACCTGTCCTGTTTGTTCCCTCAGAAGCACCTGGTGCTGGCTGCTGTTGGCAGACAGAACACTGGGCTAAAATGGACCTTTAGTCTGACCCAGTGTGACTGTTCTTAGGCCATGTTTCTAGTAGTAGAGCCTCACTAGTAGCTTCTGTTTGGTATCTTCACCAGTGATTTATATAACGGCACAGAGAGTATGCTTACAGGGTTTGGAGATGATACCAAGAGGGAAGGATTGCAAATGCTTTGGAGTATAGAATTAAAATTAAAAATAATCTGGACAAACTGGAGAAATAGTCTGAGATAAATAACATGAAATTCAATCAGGACAAATGCAAAGTACAGCACTTTGGAAGGAACAATCAGCTGCAGACATACAAAATAGGAAATGACTGCTTAGAAAGGAGTACTGCAGAAAGATCTCTGTCATAGTGGTGCGCAAGCTAAATACAAGTCAGTGAGACACTGTTGCAAAAAAAAGCAAACACCGTTCTGGGATGTATTAGCAGGTATGCTGCAAGCAAGGCAAGAAGTAATTCTTCCGCTCTACTTCACGCTTATTAGGCCACAACTGGAGTAATGCATCCAGCTCTGGACACCACAGTTCATGAAACATGTGGACAAACTGGAGAAAGTCCAGAAAGAGCAACAAAAAGGATGAAAGGTCTAGAGGGAAGACTAAAAAAACTGGGTTTGTTTAATCTGGAAAAGAAGAGTCTTAACAGCTTTCAAGTACCTAAAAGGGTATTACCTGGAGGAGGGAGGAAAAATTATTCTCCTTACCCTCTGATGATAGGAAGTTTTTCCCAAAGTCCAACCTGTCAGTGTGGTTAAGCATGGAAATAAATTGCCTAGGAGGTTGTGGAGTCTCCATCATTGGAAACTTTTAAGAGCAGGTTAGTCAAATTCCTTTTAGGGATGGCCTAGATGGTGCTTGGTCCTGCTGTGAGTGCAGGGGACTGGACTCTCAAGGTCTCTTCTAGTCCTATCACTCTGCGAAAGGTGTCTCAAGTTGGACAACTGAACGACAGAGGCTTCTGACATGTTTAGATACTTCTAAAAGTTCGGGTCAATGTGCTTGTATTGTGTGTAACTTGAGTGAAAGCAGAGTTTGGCTGAGGCTGACCTCAGCCATCCACACCTGAGCAATTGGTTCCAGATCTATTTAGTGACAGGACAAAATGAAAACAATTCAAAACATGATAACATTCATGGTCTCTAGAGGGTTTAAAAGCTCTTCTTGACCCCTCCAGCACCCTTGCACTCACCTTGACAGGGTGAGCAGGCAAGTGACCCAGGAAGTCTGTTTTGTAAGGGTAGTTCAACATGGCCATCATGGTAAAGGCATTTCGAGCAAACCCAAACAGCTGGTAGATGTCTTCCTTGGAAGAAAGTCTCTGGCACACGGACATTTCACTGCTGATTCTATCATAGGCTGCAGGGGGAAACAATACAAACGCTCTTAAGAGTGTAAATTGATATCACACAGTCACGCCATGTTTCGCTCACTCCTTATGACTCTCTAGTCAGGGGTAATATGAAGCTATGAAAATAAGAACGGAGTTTGTAACCCTACGTATTAACTTACTGAGGCTTGGGTGTCTGGTCACAGATTTCTCTCCTCCCTCCCCCCCGGTGTAATAACCCTGTGTTCTTTCACTGACCTACCTGCTGCTGCTTGGCAGGGTGGCTTACCCAAACTGGAAACCCCACTGCACTAGCTGACTGAGCCACAATTAGCGACATAGGTAGCTTTAGAGGTCCCAGCACATGTTGCCTGTACCTCGGCAGAAAGGCGTTAGAACAGGGACAAGCAAACGCGAAGTGAAGGACGTGAAAAGGAAGAAGGAAGAGGGAGAAAAACAGGAAGGGGCTGCTTTAGCTCATCAAACAGCGGCTGACATCACAGTCAGCTTGCACACAATGCACATCATCTGTCTGTGCATCACGTGGTCGTAGTGTGTGTTTATAAAAACACCCCCCAGGCCTTGTCTACATGAGGAAGTGATACCCACCTAACCAAAGGTGTGATACTAAATTAGTTTAATTAAGCTAGTGCAAACCTCAATGATGACACACTTATTTCAATTAAAGGGTCTCATGTCAATCTAGCTCAAGTCTTTCATCATATGCCAAAATAAGCCACTCAGACCTACATGAAGGGTCTGGACAGCTGTTTAAACAAATCAGCTGAAAAATGGCACCTGTCTCCATCCAAGAGGCACTGGGAGATACCTGCCTGCTGCCCAGACGTTCTATGCTGGGGCAACCAGGTCCATCTTACCTCCACTCAAGTAGAGGTCGTTGATTTCCTGGAAGGCTTTGCTCACAGCCTTGGCACAAGCTGGACTTGCGTTCTGAAAATTCTAAAGAGAGAAAGATTAGAGCAGCCAAACGAGGAAGCGCACAAACATGGATAACTGCTCTGAGGTCTACAGTCCTTGCCTCCGGACTGCACGCCACTTGGGCAAGTCTTATGTACCCTCCTAAGGATGGTGTTGATACAACTTCTGCCCTCTCCTCCAATTGTAGGAGTAAAGGAAGAGCTTTTTTACACTAAAAAAACCCAGCAAAAATCCAATGTCAGGTTTGTATGATAATTAATGGCACCATTAATACCTAAAGCAGAGCAAGGAGCTGCATGTTGGACACTGCTTTAGGGAAGAAGTTAACTCTCACACAAGGAAGACCTCTCAGAGCTGGGGTAGGCAGGGAACAAAGAAGAAATGGTTTCAAATATTTAGTTTTTAAAAGATGCAGCGTCCTGTATTCCCTTGACAATTTTAGCTCTTAAATGAGACATTTGTTCACCTAAAAAGCATTTCAGGCCTTTCCCACAAGACATTCAATTTCCTTAAGCTTTCACCCAGATCTACGCAATGGCAGGTTGGAGAGACACTGCCGCTTAGAGACAAGCCAGCTACCAAAGTGTCCACTTACTGCAGTGACAGCTTGAAAGAACTCGTTGGGGTCTCCGATCCCAGCCACAGACAACAGAGGAGCACTCGCAGCGAGTGCCCCAGCCACAAGGTTAGGGTATTTGATTCTCATGTAAGCACTCAGCATTCCTCCGTAACTGAGGAAAGAGCGAGAGAGGACGGTTATTTCATTCAAGAGCTGTGATCCAAAGTAAATGTGTTTGGTAATTTGGGCCTTGTGAAGCCAGCAGTTCTGGCCCCACCCAACCCAGTGAGACTGGAAATCTAAGTGAGACTATCTTAGTTTAACAGAGCAGCTCTCTAGTCCTTTCCTTTCCAAAGACCCAGACCAGCAGGCTGCTGCACTCTAATGGAGGGCAGGCATGCAGGGCGCTGCATAGAGAGCTTTCTGTTCCCTGAATAAGCTCCCAGAGCCTGCTGCCAGGAAATGAAGGCAGGCAGACACCTGGGGCTGGTTAAGCACTTGCCGGGAGGGGCCGGCTAAACACACACCTGCAGCCAACAGAAGCCTGTGGGGCTGCTTTAAAAGGTTCCCCCGGGTACGGAGGGGAGGACAGAGTGACGGAGCGGAAGGAGGAAGTGCTGCACAGAAGAGCTGGAGACTGACTAGCAGGTACCAGAGGAGAGGCCCTGGGAGGGATCGTTTAGGGAAGTGGATAAAGCTGCCAGGCTGGAAGTGAAAACAGCTCTGTGTGTTGCTGCTGCCTTAGGGTCCCTGGGAGTACTATTTGTTGCAATTAGGATGTAGCAATGCACATGGGGCAAAGTCACTCCTGATCTGGCCACTCAGCTACCCTCACTAATGCACCTAACATCAGCCTCAAACCCTGCACCACACAGTCAACTCATAGATAGCAATTGGTGAGAGCTTGTGTGGGGTGTGTAGAAAGCAAGCAGGCTTCAGTGCTTAGAAAACACAGAGTCACAGGAGTCATCTCAGGTGGAGACCAGCTCTCTGCATGGTGACAGAGCTAACGGAGTCCAATTGAGACAGAAATAAACTCCTACTGATCGCTCCTATTAGAGGTTAATGGGTTTTGTCCCTGAACGTCATAAAGACCTCAACATCGCTGTACTGACTACAGCTGCTGGCCCAATCAGTCCAAGTCATTGCGTGATTTACCCACCGCTGCCTGGCCCAATTCATCCCTCTGCCAATGCAGAGCCCGGCACAGAGAGAGGAGCTGGAGGGCGCTCCCCTCCCCAGCCCTGGAAAGGCCAGGGGGCAATTCAGCCTCCACCTCTGGTCAGGGATGCCCCAAAGATGGCCCAGCCTGTAGTTAGTGTCTCAAGACTGGACTCTGCAGCAGGATTATCCAGGATGCAAGACCATGGGCCACCCGCCTTCCCATTCCTGCAACAGGCTCCACCCACGTCTGGCCTGTTCCAATCTTCCCCATGCACTAGGGGCCAAGAGCTGGCTGTCTGCCAGGCCTGAAGGCTTTCCCCATTGAGTGTCTTCTCTCAGGGGGTTGTAGGGCTGTTCTGCAGTCTCCTTGCCAGGGCTAGGGTTAGTCCCTCCCAGTCCGCATGGAGAGCACCAGAAAGAAGAAGTCACAATTTAGTTACTGAGCGACGTCAGCAGGTGGATGTTGTCGTTCCCCAGCCAGAATTCTGTCAGCTGGTTCCCAAACCCTCTTTTGTACGAGTTCCAGGAACGGAAAAAGTCCACGGAGCCGTCCGCCCGTCTCTGGAACACCTGCAGGGGAACGGGCAGGGCTCAGCACCGTGGTTTGGACCCGGACCGGGAATAAGAACGTTCCCCGCTGTTCAGCGCCATTTGTGTCTCATTCCCCTGGCTGAGGTCCGCACGGGGAGTGTTAGCGTAACCCAGGACTGTCTGCTCCCGAACCCAGCGCTGGAAGCTGCTGGAATTGGACTGTCCGCCTGGATGCAGAGCTCTGAGAGGAGGGAATGTCACGGATTTGGAACTGACGTCTGACCTAAAGTAGCACCGAAGGCAGCTCGAAGGGGAAAGTCTCTGCTAACTTGGAATGTGAGTGGAAGGTGGGCGGGGGGGACCCCTTGGCTTAGCAGAACATCGAGGTTTTCTCAAACTACAGATGCAATAGAGCTGTCAAACGAAAACACAACTTTCAGAAAGGTGGAACTGCCCCGTTAGCCCTGCACCAGTTCTCCGCTCCCCATCGAGCCCAGTCGGGAAGGACGAGAGGCTGTGGCGTGGATGATACTTGTGATAAGGTTTGAAAACATCTCACCCCGTTACATCCACTATTGTGCCGTTTGGACAGAAGAGTCAGGCTCCCTGTCCTACCCTGGGAGCGAAGCGAAGAAGGTGCTTTCACAGACGGTGACTCCTTCCCTGCTACGCACACTTGGCCTGCGGCTCCGTGACATGCAGGCTGGTCTCCGCTCTAGCTGCAATGGAACGTGTCTGCCCAGATCCACCCCGGTGCTAACTTCCACCGAGCTGAGAATTTGGGCCATTGGCTTTACATTGAGAGAGTTTTAATCAGAAGAGGAGTTGGGTAAACTCAGGAGAGATTTAGTTTAGACTCTGGTCCTAATGTGAACCGTTTTAATTCATTGTGGCCTATGCACAGTGAGCTGTAGATATTTAAAACTAATTAGATAAATAATCCTACTATGGCATATTAATTGGCTGGCATACGGTATTTTAATTGTATCAAACCTACCAGATAAGGGCCCCAATCCCAACATACAGCAGGAGCGGCAGCCTGGCCTGCAGTAAGGTGCTTGGACGTGTTGTTTTACTCATGAGTTGTACTTACAATCCACCCTCCGCCGTCTGTGTCCATGTCACACAGCACGGCCATGGCATGACAGTCGCGGGGGTAAATGGTGTACCAGCCAGTCAGGGTGTGCCCCTTGCTCAACAGCTCCTGGCAGTTCTTTGCTCCTGGGAAGGACAAGGGTGGAGAGTTGGGGGTGTGAATGCATGAAGGTGTTAAGAGGAGAGGAGGAGCTGGATCAGCCGTGCGCTCATTAGAAAACGACTGGAACAGCATTAAGGCCCGGCGAAGTGAGGCTGTGCTGTCGGAACAGGAAATGAGCCAACAGGCGAAGAATGGGCAACCACCTTTTTTGCACAGTATATTATCCAGCTCCGCCTCTCCTGAGGATAAAAGGAAACACAATGAAAAGGACTGGACACAACCCAACCGCCTACCTAGCAGCTGGGGCCGGCCGGCGTTCTAGTCTGAGCCTCGGGTTCGGCTGCGTGGAATGAAGTCGGGTTTCCATGTGGCCGTGGTGCTTCTGGAGGTCCATGTTGTAGCTGAGCCTAACATGGTGGATCTGGGACACGGGTGCGTGAAACACCCCCCGCTCGGACTCCTCCAACCCTGGGTTCTGCGGGGAGCAGCAGTGGCACCCCCAGGATTCCTGCCCCCGGCGGAAGAGGGGAATGGACCAAGGCGCTTTTACTCCCCTGGCTCACTGGAGAATGGAGCTGAGCCAGCACCAGGACCAGAGGAAGTAAAGGGGTGGCACAATCTTATGTCCTGCCTGGAGCTCCCCTTCCTGCTGCTCTTTCAAGGGTTAATCTGGGCAGCTCAACCCTCCGCTCAAGGAGGGAAGCAAAGGCGCCTGGTAGCCCAAAAAGATTCACTCTGCATCTTTCTTCTGCTCTGTAGACACGGCTTTTAAGCCTGGCTATTTGGGCTCCGGGTCCCAATTGCAGCTCTGCCTTGAGGAGATGAGTTGCGGCACAGAGCTCTTCTGTTCTCTGGCGAGGGTTAGGGGCCCCGGATTAACCTGTCTGTGCCTGCGGGAGTGCCCCAGGTGGGGGATCCAGGGCTGGGGCAGAGGAGGGCATCAGGATAGGGGAGCAAACTTTCTCTCCACTGTGTGCTCGCGCTAGCTGTCCCATAGCCTCTGTGCTGCATGGGAGGGGGGGGCTTAGCCCTGATGGGGTTGCAACATCCTTGCACCCCTATTGTGCTGGATACCCTGTATAGCTCAGGCTTTAGATACTGTGCATGGAACAAATAAAACCCACAAGCAGTTACTGTAGACAGGGCTCCCTCTGGACAGCCACAGGTGGGTAACCTCTTAGCAGAGCGAATCGGGTACAAAGAGCACATCCTGTCTCCACGTTACTCTAGGGCTTTAAAAATGGACCTTAAATCGTTCTCTAGGCGTGCGGGAGAGGGTCGCGGTTCTTACCTATAGCGCCCGTAGTGCCAGGGACTCCGCTTTCTCCTACAGAAAGAAAACAACCTGACGTCCTTGTTTGATGCATGCGTGTCACTTTGCTCGTTGCCCCTCCACACCCCTGGGGGGAAGTGACCCCAGCGCAGAGCACGTTTCCTAAAAAGGCTGGAACCGCCAATAACGTGCTCAGCAGAGGTCAGTTCACCCCTCTGGGCACAGTTTAAACCTGGGGTGGAGAACCCAAGACCCAGTGGCCAGATGTGGTTCCTGGGTGGCCTGGATCCAGCCCCCAAACTTTGGCTTCCCCCAGCATTGGGGACCCCACGCTGACACTCCAGGCCCTCCCCCCTGTTGCCTCCCCACAGCCCTTGGCCCCTGATTTTTCTGTGGGTCAGTAGCCCCCTGACCCAAAAAGGTTCCCCGCCCCTGGTTTAAGCCCACCAAAGAAAGCGAACCCAGGGTGTAAATGGTGTATAGACGTCACTGTCTGTGTGCACAGGAGAATTTCACCTGGAGAGAACGAGCCAACTCCCAGTAAAGTCTATTGTACGACTCCAGTTTGTCAGTAGCAGTGACTGGGGTCTAAATCAGTCTGCTACCCCAGTATGACGTGTGTACGAACACAGGCAGCGCCACGGTGGACCAGCTTGGTAGTCCCTGTAGGCAGTGGTATGTTTTGCCTTCTGAGGACGTCTCCTCCTAATCTCCAAGCATTACAGAACAGTTTAAACCCCGGAGCAGGGGCTATCTACCGTCCCAAACCCTGTTGTTAAAAACAGGGACTGTTATGACTGAATATTCTTTTCTGAACTGTTCTTGTTGGAACAAGAATGACTTGAGGTCTGGAAATTATCTAGATGAGCAAGAGATTTTTGGATCTACTACTGGCAGCTCTTGAATCTTGAAAGGAAAATGGGATCCATCCCTTGCAAGCCACAGGGAGGCAGACCACTTGAGATGAGGGAGAAAAGATGGAGGGTAGAGCATTGGAACAGCTTACTAAGGACGGGGGCGTTCTCCATCACTTGAAGATGGAAGATCTGTTCCCGCCCTGTGTTCGGGCAGGAGATCGGATGGTCCTGTCTGGCTTTAAACAGTATCAGCCTGTAAAACCTCCTTTCTGTTTCAATCCCCAGCAGTTCTCTGCTCTTTAGTGCTTTACCTTTTGCTCCTGCTGGTCCTGCCTTCCCTTGTGCCCCCCTTTCTCCTGCACACAGAGAACACGGACGTTTTATGAGCAGAAGGAAAGATGGCTTCAGACACACAGCATGCACCAGACTGCCCAGCTGGTCCTGTCCAGTCATCTGTCTCCAAACGGCCCCTCCAGCTAGTCCCGGTATCTAAACTCCTCCTTTTATTTTGCTTTGACCTGACTCTGCTTCCAAGCAGAATTGTTCACAAGCAAGGGCTCGGGTAGGCCTGCGGGACTGGACCCTACGTGTCTCACTCAGCATCAGTTTATCTGATGTTTGTAATTGGCTGTTACGCTCTGGGTGGTTTGGCTCGGGTTCCTCAACTGTTTCCATGCCAGGTGACCAGGTCACTCCCCCCGTCTGGGCTGTCTTTCCATTTAGCAGTGCGGGAGGGGTAGGGGGTTGTAACCCCCGGTTCAGAGCCCCCTCCGGTGTTCTGATGGTCTGTCACTGCCAGGCGGCTGCGAACCGGTGAGTGACTTGCAGTCTCTACAGAGGACGTGGGGACTGGGTGCCCAACTCCTAGGACTTGTGAAGTGTCGAACTGGGCACACAGTTGTCAGGAGGAGTCTGTAAGGGGGCAGCCTGTACTAGGTCCCATGCAGGGCCAGAGATGTACCTTTCATTCCCACATCTCCAGGTTCGCCTTTGGGGCCAGGTGGTCCGGCACTTCCTGGGCAGCCTTGGAGAATGGTGAGTTTATCAGAACCACTGAGTCCAACTAGTTTCACCTCTGGGGAAAGAAATGAAACCCGTTTGCAAGGACCGCGGGGTCTGAAATATTCTGCAAATTCCAACCAGAGACCACAGGGCTTCATGGATCTTTCTCCCCATCTAAAAGCAGCTGGCTTTTCAAAACGTGATACTGGAGAAATGGCTTTATACCACCTGTAGAACTAACCTTACAGATGTCAAGGGGCTGATACGTCGCTAGGTGGGCAAAATTCATAAAAAGTTCATGCCCTTTTTCACCCTTTCATTTTCTGTCATTTCACAGCCCCCAGCTTCCATCCCCAGCTGATGTGTTTTACGTCCTGGCTCCTTGTCCCTTACAAACACTCAAAGCTAATTTTCAGATTTTTGATACAAAACCATTTTCCCTCAGCAATTAGCCCGTTTTGCAGAGTCTGACAGACCAGCTGACTAAGGAGTCACACCTCTGGCATATGTTCGACAGGATAAAACTGTTTGAAAATGCAGCATTAAAAAGAAAATCGAAAGACTCATCTTACCAGTGACCACGTTGGCACAACGGGTTTTCTTACACCTCTGCCAGCTAGAAATTCACAAATTACAAGAGGTTCCAAAAGGGCCAGGAGCCAGGCTACAAAGTGCATCTTCGAGAGCTACAGTTTCCTCGATGAGAGGTTCTTTCTGACCAAATAAAGTGCTATTCACTGCAGCTCTGATGAACTCGTCCTGCGTCTCTAAGAGGAGTGGAAAGGTGTGTGCTGTTTTGAAGGGTGGCAGGTTAGTCTCTCACTCACCTGGGCAGGTGTTCTGATCCTCAGAGAGTGCTGCCGCTAGCCAGAGGAAAGGGATAAGGACTTGGTGTCCAGCTCTCCCCATGGCTGGTGCTGGTCCCGGCAACAGCAGCCCCATTTGTCTTCACCTTGCTTTTGTCTCTGGCAGTTGAGTGCTCCTGTGAACCTCAGCTTTATAGAGCCGAGGAGACTGTCTATTCCCGCTCACCCCTAGTGAGCTCTGCCCATGGACTGTGCTGTGGAAAAATCAAACAGATGCGACGTCTCAGGAGAGCTGCTCAGATGCACATTCAACATCAATCTTCTTACGTAGCCTGGCTAGGTTTCCTATGCAGCGCGTTCCAGGGAGGCTAACTTTAGCCCAGTCTTTCCCAAAGCAGTTCATCTTCCATCAGGACTGGGGAGATGGGTCTCCGCTTGTGGGACAGGGTCTGGACAAGAGCCACCAGGGCCCGTCTCTTGCAGTTCACATTGGCTGTGCCTTCTACGGGTGCGGGGAGAGAAAAAGGGCTGCAGGGCTCCTGCCGAACTGAATGTGGCTGTAGCAGGGCCCCTCGCCTGCGTTTAGCCTCGACATGGTTGCTGGTCTGCAGAGCAAAGCGACGTCTCATGCTCCGCTCAGTGGCTTTGTTCTTTTTGGCAGGGATGCAATCACTTCTGAATGCCGCAGCCACTCCACGCCAACATTTCAGGGAACACAGAACCCTGTTGATTTTCAGTGGGAAATGGGAAAAGGAGAAAATCGGGGGCCCAGAGAGTCCCTGGCGTCTGGTTAGCAGATGTTCCAGCCTCACCCACCCCTGAAAATGTCTACAGATGGAAAAACCTGTTGCTGGCAGCGATTTGCACCATGTCCTAAGAGTACCCCCATCTGCGCTCTGCCAAATTGTTGGCACCCTGAACGACTCTCAGCCTAGGCCGAAGGCACAGACATAAGGCTGGTGGGAGAGGGAAGGGGGGACGGATGAGGAGGGTGAATGAGGTGTGCATTGAGACCCGGCTGGGCGGGGGGGGGGACATGGCTATGGGGAAATGGGAGGCACCTGGAACCACTGTGAGGGACAGATGGGGCAGGGGAAAGGGTGACATGAGGACCCAAATTCCTTGCACAGACCAGCTCTCTAACAATGGGAGGGGACGATGGTCTGAGTGTGGGGGGGGCACAGAGCCTCTGGCCTGGGGAGGGCAGGGTTGCAGTGAGTCCTGGGTGGCAGGGAGCGGGGGAGGAAGGCTGCAGGGCAGAGGCATAGCGAGGGGTCGGGGGGCAGTTATCCTCAGGTGCCATGCTAAGGGGGTGCCCGGCTGGGGTGGGAGCAGAGCGCACAGCCCCCCACGTCACGGAGAACCTGGGGTAATGTAATCCCGTGTGGAACTGCTCCCTGTAGGATTGTGCTGCTTCTGGTAGCAGTTTCCTATAGAAGCATTTCCTTACGATCCTACAAATAAGAAAATGCTTCTGGTAGCACGTTCCTATGAGGTAGCCGCTTTCTACGTTACCTGGCGCTGTCGGCCACGTGCTCCCTGTGCAATCAAGCCCCCGAGGCAGGGCCAGGCAGCGCGAGCAGCCACTTTACAGGTAGGGTGACCCTCCAGTGCCTGGCTCTGTGGGAGGGGGATGGGGTTAGAGATGGGGGATGGGGGTGCCTGGATCTGGGGGAGGAGCATTGGGTTAAAGCGGGGAGGTGGGCCCTTACGTTGGTGCAGGGAGGCTGGGTATGCCTGGTTCTGGAAGAGGGGTGGGTGCATTAAGAGTACTTAAAATTTTTTTAAAAGGGGTGCTTTTTTAAAAAAAAGTTGGGAAATACTTCTCTAAACCAGTGTTTCTCAACCAGTGGTACGAGAATTGGGGTACTTGAGAGAAGTCTGGGGGTGCATCAACACAACAGAAATTTGGAGAAAACTGAATTTTTGTTTTAAGTTTTACAGCACTTTATTATTTTTGCATTTTTTACACCCAAAAATTTCATCACCCACCCGGCTACAATTAAGTTGTTTAAGCAAATGTGTTGCAATGGTAGAAAAAAAGTTGCGTGTCTGAAAACTGTAAGTACTGGGGGTACTTCTACATTTTTTTTAAAGGTGTGCTTTATAAAAATCAGGTTGGGAAACACTGCTCTAAACCATTCCTTTCGGCCTCCGTTTCCTTTCTCCTTTGGCAAGTTGGGCAGGCACATTTTTACCAAAACTGCTATCAGCCATGAGCACACGGTGCCTGCTCTACTCAGCTGGTGCTGGATAATCCAGGCCTCAGCTCTAAAGGAATTGGCATTACCGAGGTGATGGATTCCCTCCATGTTTTGTTCTGGATTTTCCAAAGAAAATGCTGGTGGTTTCTATCGGTCACCCACATCTCCCAGTCCTAGCAGAGACTTGGGATTAACATGGCTTTCTCAACTAAAAGTCTTGTAACGGGTTCAGCTATTGTGAGTGTGAACAGCTGGCGAGGCAGTCTGCCCAAGGCAAGGTTGGCCTTGAATCTTGACATCTACGGCTTCAGTTGAATGGCTTGTGTGAAATTTGGAAGAGCAACTCAGAGACACCTCTCTCCTTCACGTAAGGGTAGACTCTCCTGGCAGCCTGAAGGAAAAAGTCCTCGTGGCAGACAGAAAGCCACGTTCGCAGTGTAACCTCAGCCTTGCTACTTATTGCTTCAAGTGCCTTCAAGAAAGTGAGGGTGATTCTTGTGTTGTGTGTTAGTTTTATTTAAAAGGTTTTCTGAGTCTTACTGTAACAGGTAAGTTGGTATGTCTACACTACCACCCTAGTTCGAACTAGGGTGGTTAATGTAGGCAACCGGAGTTGCAAATGATGCCCGGGATTTGAATTTCCCGGGCTTCATTTGCATGTTGCTGGGCATCGCCATTTTGAAATGTCCGCTAGCTCAGACTCCGTGCCCGCAGCTACACATGGCACGCACTAGATAGTTCGGATTAGGCTTCCTATTCCGAACTACCTGGACTCCTCGTGGAAGCCCAAGATAGCCCAGGGACTGGATGGCAGAAGCAGTACATGAGCCCCCGTCGCTGGAGTCCCAGTCCACTACCTTAACCATGGAGCAGGCAGCTAAGCCCGACTCAGTAGAACTCAGTGCTGCTTGGCCAGAAAGAGGGGGCCACTCGCACTCATCTCTCCAGCCAGGAGCCCTACAGTGTGGGAAGCAGCTGTTAGCTGGGCAGCCAAGGCACTGTCACAGGTGGAAGTGGCACCAAAAGGAAGATGGGGGCATTCCCCACACGTGGCGCCCGCAGGCGGAGGGAGAGAGGAGACGTGTGGCTAGCGAAAAGCACGTGTTCTTGGCAGGACACGGAGCGGTTCTGTCCTGTCGTCTGCTGAGCTACACGGGCCTAAACTTCATCTCCGACTGCTTGTAGGAATAGTTGTAACCTTTGCCCGTCTTCCAGTTCACCCCGTCAGCAAAGCTGGCGTGGGTACCAGCCAGGTACAGCCCGTTCAGGTTGGACCAGTGACAGTCCTTGTACCACCAGCCCCCCTTGTAGATCTCAGCACAGTTTCGGGCGTTGGAACTCAGGTCGTTGTCGTTGTCTCTGGTTGAAAACCGCATGTCCTTGTGCGGGGATAGTGAATCACCTGTGCAAGAGAATCGTGTTACTTGGTTACAAAGACGTGAGCGTGTCTGGTCTTTGCGGGGCTTTCAGTGCTCAGCATTATAGCCCCACGTGCTGCACTGGCTCAGGTCTCCAAACTCCCTTCTGCCAGCCCCTGCTGCACGCTGGCGGATTTCACTCCCAGGCGCCAGGAAACCCTGGCAGGAGAGAAGGGCTTTGTGGTGGACGGGGGAGGCTGTGCTGATAACAGCTCTTACAAATATCCCCTGCTCATCTGGGTCTTGGCAGACTGCCCCCCGGTTCCTCATGGTTAAACGCAGGGCTTGGGGAATGCGGTTACCAAGGCGCTAGAACTCCGGGCCTGGGGGATGCTCTTACGTCGCACCCTGTAGTGCGGCAGTGGCTGTAGTGGGGGGGGGGTGAACACTGTGTCTTACAGCAGAGATCACGCTGCCTTCACACCGCACCCCGAGGGTTTCTTTTCTGGTGCTCGGTTAAGGACACAGGTCTCTAAGGAAGGAAGTGGTCAATAGAGCCCTGATGGAATTTCAGTTCAATGGTATTCATTCGGGTTTGGAGTCCTAACGCTTCACGTGTTGCTAGAGAAATCAAATTCGACTTGGAGACTAAATACAAAAACAACGGGCCCAATTCTGTGCTGATTTGCAACCAGTGGCCCCCTCCGATCGCCCAGTGTTACTCAATGCAGCCTTTGTTCCAGTGCGTACAGGCAAGATTCCTGTCCCATTCCGCCCATCGGGGTTTTCTTGCCAACGCGCTGCCTGGAACAGTTTCCAGAGGCTGTAAATAAATGTGACCCTGTGTCTTAGAGATGCACCCTCCCCCCAGCGATAAAACAGTTCTGACAACCAGGGAGGGATTTATTTTGCTTTTGCCACAAGGTGGCCCCTGGCTCTGCTGGCGGGGCCTGGCGTGCTCCCCACGGTATATGACACGCCCAGACGGTACCTGCAGTGCCGCCAAGAAAGTCTCCGAGAATCAGTTTGTATTTCTCCGTCTCTCCTGCAATCTTGAATGACTTGTACTTGGCAAACTGCTTGTTGTTTTCGAAGTCTTTGAGGTCAATGTGGAGTTCATGGTTTCCTATTAAAAATAATGGGATCATGAAGCACTGAACACATCCGGCTTTTGCACTGTCGTTGGGGCCCTTTCTGCGCCTGAGTCAGCCTGGTGGTTGCTGTAGGGCTGATGTTACCAGCCTCTTTCCACCCTGCAATGCCAAATGGGGCAACAGCACCCGGCCCCCTGCTGAGAAGAGCCTGCCTCATTTTCCCCTCACTTTGCCCCTCCTGTAACCACATACCTAGAGCAAGGCTGGGCAGGAGCCTTTCACGCTCTTTTGCAGTGCAGAGCAAGGAAGAATGTGGCCCAGAGTATCCAGAGGGGGGACCAGACTGAAACGCTGCCACGGTGGTGTCTTACCTTGGGACGTCAGCAGGTGGATGTTGTCGTTCCCCAGCCAGAATTCTGAGAGCAGGCTGCCGAATCCCCTCTTGTACGAAGCCCAGTCGCGGAAAAACTCCACAGAGCCGTCCGCCCGTCTCTGGAACACCTGCAGGGGAAGGAAGGGCTCAGGGAGGAACCTGCCGTGCGAGGAGCTGGGGAAAGGAGGGAAAAAAGACACCCCCGACCTGCCTGCATCAGGTACTCGTGTGTAAACGGCTCCAGTCCGCTCCGGTAACAGCTCAGCCCCGCAGGGGCAAACGTTCAGTGGGTCAAAAGTCTCATGCACGGTGCCTCTCGCTGCCCTGCTGTCCAAAGCTCTGAAAGTCTGTCCGGGACCCAGTGAACTGCCCGCGGGGAGGGGAAACCCAAGCAGCCGATTCCAATTAACCGACCCCCTCAGAGGCTGCCGGGAAGTGGAGGGATCTGGGCCTACCCGACCCAGCCAGTCTCAGAGGGGGAGGGTAGTGTGCAGGGGAGAGGAACGCTGGAGGGGATGCAGACTCTGAAAGGAGCAGCAGGAGAGGCATTTGCCTTTGGAGGCTGGCGAGAGCGGGGTCCAGACTGGGGGCTGCTTCCCTAGGGATCTTTGGACTTGCCTGAGAGAGCTTCTGGGATATGGGACTAAAGATTTGCAGGGTAGATGATGATAGATTCGATACTGACCCATCACCTTCTTACAGAACAGCTGGTCAGTTTCCTCTAGCGCCAGGCCTCTGTGGGCAATAGCTTAGTGGCCGTGTTCAAGAACTTTACAGTCCGTTCTTAGAGAGCGCGAATTGAACAAGTCTCGTCCAAAGAGTCTCAACAAACAGCGGCGGGAATGGAGTTCAGCACCATGGACGATTGATTCACATGCAACGGCCCCACGGCCTCCCCTCCTGGGGCAGCAGCTTGTTCTGCATGAGGCGCTCGGATATTTGTGTGCATGTTATTCACACTTACAATCCATCCCCCGCCGTCCGTGTCCATGTCACACAGCACGGTCAGGGCGTTACAGTCGTGGGGGTAGATGGTGTACCAGCCGCTCAGGAGGTTCCCTCTGGTTAGCAGCTCCTTGCAGTTCTTCGCTCCTGGCCAGAACCAGAATTTCAAATGGTTATTAAACTTCAACATTGTGACAAGCTGCCTAGAACAAAGCTAAGGACAAAGGGACATCGCCAAGCCTGCTTTACTGAAACTAGACCTCTGGGACAGCCAGGTACTGAACATGGATCTCCTCTGGTATCTAAAACGGAGTTACAAGGAGGAGGGAGAAAAATTGTTCTGCTTGATCTCTGGTGACAGGACAAGCAGCAATGGGCTTAAATTGCAGCAAGGAAGATTCAGGTTGGACATTAGGAAAGACTTCCTGTCAGGGTGGTTAAATATTGGGATACGTTCCCTAAGGACGTTGTGGAATCTCCATCACTGGAGATATTTATGAGCAGGTTGGACAGACACCTGTCAGGAATGATCTGATGTTGCTTGGTCCTGCCGTGAGGGCAGGGGACTGGGCTTGATGACTCTCGAGGTCCCTTCCGGTTCTAGGATTCTGTGATTCTCTGAGTCTAAGGGCCAGTCCAATGCCTTAGCAACAAAACCGGGTGAACCTCAGCTCTTCACTGTCTGGGTGCCAGGGCATGGCTCTATGCCATCATCTTGTTGAGCAGCATGTCTGAGTCCTGTAGCCCTCTCAGTGGCACCTGCTTCCTGCGTTTTCTCACAGCTTGGGCCAGTGCAGTAGCTGAAAACTCCACTCGGTGGGTTTGGCTCTGAAACTGAGCCGGCATTTTAAAGAGAATATCCACTTAAAACGGGCAGCGCTGTTGTGCAGGTGCGTTTGTCGTGGTTGGGGACTGTTGTAATAAACACCAGGACCCCTGCAACACCGGGGGGAGGGGAATCAAATGTGCCTCTGCATGCTGAAGGGAGGTTCTGCAACCCCGAAGCAAAACGAGCCGACTAGCCAGCAGTACCATGAAACACTCACCTCTCTTACACTGCAGGCTGTCCAGCTCCCCCTCTCCTGTGCAGAAAAATTAAATCAGGATCTAAATACTGCTCATGGTGTCTATCATAAAAATACTGTCAATTACAACTAGATTCCTCTTGGTTGGAGATGCACAAGCAACACCCTACGTCCCGTGGTAAGTGTGCTGGGGTTGTAGTCTCCTTGGTGTTACTTTCATTGCTAACTGGGTGATTCATTTTTACCAGTGGAGAGGAGGCTGCAAGATGCTTTCCCTCCAGAGGGAACAACAACAGCAACGCCAGGGGCAGTTTTAGTCTGTACTTTGTGGGAATTCCCCACACACACTGGAGCCTCTTGGGGGTGTAAATCGCTCCCAATGCAGCGGGTGAAAGGCAGGCAGAAGGCCGTTTCTTTTGGTTTTTGCTGGATCCTGGAGCAGGGGAAAGTGGGGAAGTGGGTTGCATCGACTCTCCTCCACCTGGCACCCTGAGACTGTAGCACCCCCATGTAGTAGGGAACATGGGCAGAATGTGGCAAGAGTGAACTTGGATCTAGAACGTGGGCTTTGAAATCCTTGGAAGAAAGGAGAGCAAAGGGGGATTTGCCCTCCCATCTCTCAGAGAAGGATGCTTCTTTAAGCAGGAAAGTGGCCTTTCTCCAGGGATCCACCCAGGGATGGGAATTATGGGGCAGCTGGGTCATCTTAACGCTGAATGGCGCTGGCTCAAACCCAACGAGTTTGCACTTTAGAAATATCCCTAGTCCTTGAGTTCTGGCGCAGCCAAGATGTCATCTGCGTGTAATTAAGGGAGCTGTTGCAACACTTGGATGGCCCCACGTTCAACGTGTTTGTTATGCTACCAATATTTCACTCTGCTGGCGCCACTTCAGTTCGGAATGCTAGAGAGGAGAAATCAGTTGCTTTGGTGTTTGTGTCCTGTGCTTTACCACCCCGTTCGCCTCCAAAAAGCGACTCTGTACAAATGGCCTTTCCTGACTCGCTCGCCACTCAATAGACATTTTTCTGAATACACAAACGTCTGAAAATGGCCGTTCATGTTGCCATCTTCCTGGGCAAGTGTTATCAACAGTACTATTTACACAGATCTAAGTGACCAGCGTTTAGTAGTCACATACAAATCAATATCATAGAATCATCATAGAATCATAGAACCACAGAGCTGGAAGAGACCTCAGAAGGTCATCAAGTCCAGCCCCCTGCTCTAGACAGGACCAATCCCAACTAAATCAACCCGGCCAGGGCTTTGTCAAGCCGAGACTTAAACACCTCTAGGGACGGAGACTCCACTACTTCCCTTGGTAACCCATTCCAGTGCTTCACTACCCTCCTAGTGAAATAGTTTTTCCTAATATCCAACCTGGACCTCTCCCACCACAACTTGAGACCATTGCTCCTTGTTCTGCCATCTGTCACTACTGAGAACAACCTCTCTCCATCCTCTT